CCAAAGTCACACTTCTGTCAGTAGAGCTATTACTACTAAATTTACATTCCATGTATTCAGTTTTAGTTCTACTTAAACGAAGGCCTTTAGACCCCAGAGTAGACCTCCATAATTCAAGTTTTTCCTGGGCTTTTTCTCTCGTTTTATCCACGAGAAGGATATCATCAGCAAAAAACATACACCAAGATACATCCTCCTGTAGATGTCCAGTAAGACCATCCATAACTAAAGCACAAACATATGGGCTTAAAGTCGATCCCTGATGTAATCCAACAGAAATAGGAAAATATTTGGTCAATTCCCCTTCAGTTTGAACACAACTAATCGCTCTAATATACATATCTTTAAAGACTTGAATATAAGTCAAATCAACACCTTTCTCTTCTAGAACTCTCCAAACGATATCTCTTAGAACCTTATCGTAAGTTTTTTCTAAATCAATAAAAATCATATGTAAAACCTTCTTATTCTCTCTGAACCTCTACATCAAACCTTTTAATAAATGTATAGCTTCCTTAATAGACCCACTCGACATAAATGTAAATTGATTATGAGAAATATTTGTATAACATCTTAACTCATGTTCAATTATGACACATCAACTTAATTCCTCTATAATTTGCTTACTCTTATGCATCCCCGTTATTCTTAAAAATGGGGATCAAAATACTCTTCCTCCACTCCTCAGGCATCTTTTTAGTTTTTAAAATAATATTAAAGAGTTTAGTAAGCCAAGAAACTCCCAAATCTCCCAAATATTTCCACACTTCAATTGGGATATCATCAGGTCCTGCAGACTTTCCACCCTTGATTTTCTTTAAAGTCTGATCAACTTATTTTTTACTAATGTGACGATAAAAATGAAACGTTTTATTATTATTCACGATATTAAGATCACTAAGGTCGATCGTATTTTCAGAAACTTCGTTAAAAAGTTTATCAAAATAACTCACCCACCTAGTTGAATATCTTTTTCTAAGAAAAGTACTTTTTAATTTTCATCTTTAATACGCTTTACTTGAGTTAAATTTTTACCTTTATTTTCTTTATTTGGCTAGTTTATACATATATTTTTCACCTTCTTAGTATCTACTCTATTATAAAGATCATTAAAAGCTAAATTTTTAACGTCACAATTTGTTCTTTTAGACTCCTTGCGGGTCGTTTGATATTTTTCTCAGCTCTCTAAGCTTTTACATTTAATCCAATTTTTATAACATTACTTATATTTTACTTTTTCTTGCACAATATTATTCTACCAACAATTTTTATTTATTTATAAAAACTTTCTTTAGATTCTCCAAACACATCTTTTGTTACTTGTTTAATGGTATTTGTTACATTATCCCACATAATATTTGCTTCTTCATGAACATCCCAAATTTTGAAATCTTGAATTTTACTCATAAAAATAAATTTATTTGTATCTTTTAGGTTTCCCTAATTCTACGATGATGAGTCTTAGTGTTCTTTATTTTACAACTCTTCATCTTAAAATCTAGAACTAATAAACGATGTTGGGTACTTAAATTCTCACTATGAATGACCATACAATTTTTACAATCTCCACGATCTCTTCTTCTCATAAGAAAATAATCAATTTGTGTTTTATTAGATCTATTCTTATAAGTAATAAGATGCTCATCTCTTTTCTTAAATAAAATATTAGTAATAACAAATTCATATGCTAAAGCAAAATTTAAAATAACTTTACGTTCTTCATTAGTTGCTCCAAAACCGTAGCTACCATGAGTATTTCTGAAGTCTTCTACCTCTGTACCGACATGTCCGTTTAAATCTCCTCCAATAAAATTTTTTTCTTCATGGGGTATCATTTGTATTAAGTCTTCTAAGTCATTTCAAAATTTATCTTTAGACCTTCTATCTAAATCTACTTGAGGAGCATAAACACTTATAATATTAAAAATCTTACTATTGATGATAATCTTAAGGGTTATAATTCTATCTCCAATTCTATTAATTTTTACAACATTATCATTCATATTCTTTGTCGGTCAACTTTCTCCTTATTATCTCTGAACTTCTCCATCAAATCTGTCAATAAATGTATAGCTTCCATAGCAGACTTGTATAAAGTCGAAGTCAAGTTTTTGGGCGCTATTGCTGGAATTTAAATCTTCTAGTAGCGCCATCAAATTCTTGTATTTGTTGATTTACAAAAAGTCGGTCACTTGTGCATCCCCTTTATTCTTAAAAATGAGGACCAAAATACTTTTCCTCCACTCCTCAGACATCTGTTTAGGTTTTAAAATAATATTAAGGAGTTTGGTAAGCCAAGAAACTCCCAAATCTACTAAACATTTTCACACTTCAAATTGGATATCATCATGTCGTACAGAACTTCCACCCTTGGTTTTCTTTAAAGCCTCCTCAATCTCTTTTTTACTAATGCGACGATAAAATTTTATTATTTTTAATGATATTAAGATTACTAAGGTCGATCATATTTTTCAGAAACTTTATTAAAAAGTTTATCAAAATAACTCACCCAACTATGTTGAATATCTTTTTCTAAAAAAAACACTTTTTGATTCTCATCTTTAATTCATTTTATAGTTAAATCTTTAATTTTCTTTTCTCTTTGTTTGACTAGTTTATACATAAAGTTTGCACCCTCCTTAGTATCTAATCTATTATAAAGATCACTAAAAGTAGAATTTTTAGCGTCACTGATTGTTCTTTTAGACTCCTTGCGGGTCGTTTGATATTTTTCTCAGTTCTCTAAGCTTTTACATTTAATCCAATTTTTATAACATTACTTCTTATATTTTATTTTTTCTTGCACAATATTATTCTACCAACAATTTTTATTTATTTATAAAAACTTTCTTTAGATTCTCCAAACACATCTTTTGTTACTCGTTTAATGGTATTTGTTACATTATCCCACATAACATTTGCTCTTCATGAACATCCCAAATTTTGAAATCTTGAATTTTACTCATAAAAATAAATTTATTTGTATCTTTTAGGTTTCCCTAATTCTACGATGATGAGTCTTAGTGTTCTTTATTTTACAACTCTTCATC